CTCAAGGACCATTCCGATGAGAAATACAAGCTGGAGTGGAGAAGATGGATTGATTACATTCAAAATAAATACGGGACTAAGAAACTCCAGATAGCTTATGAATGAATGAGCAAGGAATGTTACAACTTATCTAAAGTTAGCTTTACAAAAGGGGAGTTAAAGTACAAGTGAGGGATGATGCTAAAGTTAGTTAGTTTAATTTAGTATATGATTGCTAAATGTTTATATCCCATATTTGCTCTGGGAGGTTGTGGAGGGGGGGAAGGGAGGAGGGCATGTGTGGTCGGGGGGGAGGGAGGGAAGGTATATAATTGTAAAACTCTTTAAAACTTTTAATTAAAAAAAATTACTTGGGCTTCCTTATCAAACAGTCACTTACTTTGGAGGGTTTGAATACAGTAATAAGGAAGGAAGGTATTACAAATGTACAACTCATTTGTGCTATGAAAGACAAGGCATAACTATTTTGATTGCTGAAGCAACTGGAGGGTCCTAGAAAACGTGGTAGTGATGGTTGATAAATCAGATGTCAAGTAAAGGAACTTTTAGACAGGGAGAGAAAGATTTTGATGAGAAATACATTCCTTGAATGTTGGATGGTTAATTTTACCTCTAAAGGAAACAGACATTTTTGACAGATCTTAGCAAAAAACAAAGAAAAATTTAAACCAATGCTTTTATAACTTCACTGGAGACTATCATATAAAGGTTTCTTTATACAATAATAGTGTAAGGAGCTGAATAACAATGAACATATGACCTGTAAAGAAAAATAATCATTCATTTAGTTTCAGGAATTTCTCCAGAATCATCTTATCACCTGATTTGTCTTTTCTTTATGTTTTATAAAGTATGTATGTTTTAGAAATCTTTCTAACAAGATTCTGGTTAACACATTCATATTTATTTTTGTCTCTCTCTCTCTCCCCCCCCCCCAAAAGAAATGAGTTGGGGGGCAGACCATTTGCAGTTATAAGCAGAAATGGCTCTCAAGAGTAGCAGCAGGAGGAAGGGAATAGTTCTGAGGGAAATGCTTAAAACACGATGGGGAAAGAAGGGCAACGCTGATCACTGGGTCACCATAGTGCCCATGATGCCAAAAGCAGGCAAACTAATGACGAGATCAACAAACTGATATATATTCACTATTCAGTTACTGAGAAAATGGCAAAACTGCAGAACCTAGGGCAGGTTTCAGGAGTAAAAGTAATTATTTCAGTCACCTGCTGCTTTATATCACAATAGCATCTCTTTCATGTTCTGTGGCATAGAATCCTGTGTTGTTCTGGGAATCTTCTCTGAAACAGAGTTGTAAGGAGTTCATATTTCATAAGGGAATACTATGATCCCCTGAATACAGACATCTGTCATTTCCTCATTATGGATTTTTCAAAAAGCTCCTGAAAAGATCTAAGCCTGGTCTTCTCTTCCTCCTTTTGTTTGCTCCAACCCCAATTATCTTTGCATCATAATTGTCGTCAATGACAGAATAAAACCAGCTTGTTAGTAGTAAGCATGTGGATTCCTAACAAGGTCAAGATGGCGTTAACATATATAATAAAATTAAAAACAGCAAAGCTTCCATGACTGAATTAAAATCGTTGCTGTCTCATGCTGGGGCTGTAAAAACTAGCATTAGATAGTATTCCAGATAAATGCTCAAGTTTTGAAAAGCTTTTGTCAATTACTATTCAAATTTTCAAAGAAGCAAAATATTTCAAGATTTTGGTTGTTTTTTTTTAAAAAAAAGGTTTGTGTTTAATCACACAATTAATCACTCCCAATAAAGGAAGGGTATCTGTCAATGGACAGAGAGGGGAACATTTCCCCTCACAGTCTTCAGCATGGGCACAAAAACTGGTCTAAAAGCTGAAGGAATCCTCCAAATTAGATATGGGTTAATTTACATTCCCATGAGCTACAGAATATGAAGGCCAAATCTTACATGGTATTTACAAGTGTGTTCGTCAAACATGATAAATATGGGAAGTATATTTTTTATTTGTAGCAAATTTCTGTTTCAGTAGAAATTCCCTATCTACTAAGGAAGCAGCTTGACTGAAAATCTGATTAAAATGTTGTTTTACAACATTAGTTTTAAAAGGGATGTTTCAATTTCTTAAATAAAATTGACCTGAAAATAAAAATTGTCAGATTAAAATTACCAAATCAGTTAGTCAATAATCACAAAAATGTGAAAGTTTATATTTCTTTGTTTTTATCAATAAAATTCATCAATAAAACTTAAAATAAAAAACAACAAAATATTTTATGGAACAGTAATACAAAAAACAACCTTAAAATAGTAATTTGAAAACATATATGAAGTAGTTTATGTTTTGAGCTTACTTTATTGTCATTGCACCTCGTACAATGAAATTGAATGCCATCTTCATTATACATTATGTATATTATATATTATAATGTACATTATAATTATAAAATAAAACACAAACACACATCCTTCACATGCTATACAACTGTATAGAATCATAATAGTAAAACTGTTTTCTACATTTTGAAATGTTATGCCACCGAGCTAAAAGATGCATTGTATTTCTATTTCAATCTGACAGTTAACATTAAAAAATAATTTATTGTACTGCAACAATTTATAATTTGGAAAAATAAACCTATAGTAGAGTTGCTTGCTAAATTTTGTCATTCAAAAACAATTCAAAGGGAGAAAATTGTGCTCCTTTAACAATAGCAGTTAGACTTATATACCGCTTCATAGGGCTTTCAGCCCTCTCTAAGTGGTTTACAGAGTCAGCATATCGCCCCCAACAGTCTGGGTCCTCATTTTACCCACCTCAGAAGGATGGAAGGCTGAGTCAACCTTGAGCCAGTGAGATTAGAACCACTGAACTGCAGATAACAGTCAGCTGAAGTAGCCCGCAGTACTGCACCCTAACCACTGCGCCACCTCGGCTCTTGCAAGACAAGTGTAACCATCTTGCAGATTTTGACCCACCCACACCATAAATCCTCAGAATCAAGTAATAGGCAAAAACAATTGGGAATCTCTATATAAAAGTAGGATTTTATGGTACAATCATTTGAAGTGCAGATATTCTGCTAAGTAATGATAAAGATATACTCTTACTCAAACAAACCTTGTACATCCTTATCTCCAGAAATGCAATTGTCGTTATTTCCTAAGAGGATAATTTTTATCCTGCTACATTTCCTTTTCTAGAAATTAAACTGTTTGATGGCTTTTATTCCTTGTTTTAAAAGCACTAATACTATTAAGAAGACTCTATACTGTTGTATCATCTTACAGGAGATACCGCTTTACCTTTTTTCCTTTAATGTTGTATTTTGGAACTATCTACTTTCTGGTACTTGAAACTAAGCCTCTGTTCCCCTTTAAATTTAAGTAGATGATTTATTTGAACTCAGATTACAAACATTTATTTCTCATCATCCACAACAGCTTATGGGAAAGGTTAGAGATCAATTTGAATACATAGAAATCATGCTCTGTATAAGCCCTACTCAACTCTGGAGAAAAATGTGAAAGATATTCTAGCTCTCTCATAAGGCTCAAGAGACACATACACCCAACATATATTACATAAAGAGGCAAAGTTAAAAGAGAGTGATGTTTTAGCTCTACATTAAGTAAGTTACCATCTTACCCAGTGATTAGCCAATATTAATTTAGCTTTAGGAAACCACACCAGATACTATAGCAATGAAGGAAATGAATTAACTTGAAATACCATGGCATTATTCAAAAATAGGAAGGACCATTGCTAAAACACAGCAGAACTGTTTTCCAGAATTAAAGACCTAAATTAGTTTACAAAAATCAAAGAAATGGCAATGTGCCACAATTTGTTCATGGTTTATGGAATTTGTCAAAATGTCTGCCTTCACAAAACACAGTAAGCCAAAACAAAATATGGTTTAGTTGCTACCTGATATCAATTTGCCCTGGGCTCAAAGACTCAAGAATCTCCAAGGTCCCTTCAAGCCCTATGATTCTATGATAATAGAGAAGATTGTCCTAGGATGTGGGTTGCTACTTTCATTAGGAATTTTGAATTAGAAGTGCATGGTAAGGGATGCTCCCTCAGGAAATTTTATTTGGCAAAGAACTGAATCTGTTCTCTTTAAAGTACATAACTACTAATTCAGTGACTGTCAAAGTTACAAGGATGCTGAGCAAGGGGGACTTTATGACAGGTCTTCATAGTTGTGATCGACACATACCCTCTGTCATATTGATCACAATTTGGGTGCTCGGCAATTGGCTCATAATTATGACAATTGCAGCTTCAGTCATCATTTGCAACCTTCACTATTGACTTCTGACAGACAATTTCAATGGAGAAGCTAGCAAGAAATTGCAAATGGTGCTGATGTATCCATAGGAATTGCATGACAAACATAAGTACACTGCCACAACTGCCATCATGTCGACACAATCACATGACATTCTATTTTACAATCGTATTGTTTAACAACTTCCACAGATAAGAAAGGATTACTTTCCTTTTGCAGCTAAATCATCCATGTTCTTCTGTTGAACTATCCTGCAGCAACAAAGTGCACTTCAGGTATAAGGTATATCTGTAACAAACTGAAAGGCTGATGAAGGCAGGATATGCAAATGTGGAACCACATTCAGTGGGGAACTGTCACAACTTCAAAAATGGTTGTACACATAAGTTAAACAAAGTTGAAAACAATACCTGGTATCTGCGCAAGACATGTTGAGCTGACTAACTTGGAGGAGTCTTTCACACGGCAACAGGTGCTCTCGGGCAAATGAGTTTCCTGAGTGGGAAAGCAGGTTCTGCCTACACACAGGCCCCAAACTATTTGTCATCTCCATGTCCACCACGTTATTCTCAGAGATCAAATTACAATGGCTGAAGCCACAATTCACTGTTAAAAGAAGAAGTGAAAGAGAAAAGTAAGTATGAACTCTTTACTAAGAGAGTTGAAGCCTCTCTCGTGGTTCCCCTCCACCATATTCCCATTTGCTTTTGACAATTGGTTTCATGAAATCAGGATACAAAACAGAACATTTCACATTAATTGTGATTCAGTTCTAAAAGATTTATCCACCCTGACTGATTATTATTGCCTTTTGCAGATAGCATTACAGTTTTAACAGGATTCTTTTCAAAAGGAACGAGCACACTACTATGCACCAATGTTTTCTATTTTATTTTGAACTGTTTTTTACCCAGACAACAGTAAAAATTAAAAACAGAAATATCTTATGAAAACAATCCAAATGAAGTATCAATTAATGCAAAAGGGCCTACTGAAATAGAAAATCTTGATTCTTTCTCTAAAGTAGCAAGAATAAAGATTGAAAGAAATTCCCAATGCCTAAAATCCCCTTTGCTTTGGACCCAACAAACCAACCTCAAAAAGTGACAGCATCTTAACCATCTCTGTGGTTCTTGCACAGAAGAAAAGAGGACTGTAAGCTCAAATCCAAAGTTGAAATGGTATAGGGTATCCTGCCAGAGCAGGGGGCTGGACTAGAAGACCTCCAAAGAGCCGAGGTGGCGCAGTGGGTAGAGTGCAGTACTGCAGGCCACTTCAGCTGACTGCTAGATCAGCAGTTCAGCGGTTCAAATCTCACCGGCTCAGGGTTGACTCAGACTTCCATCCTTCCGAGGTGGGTAAAATGAGGACCCGGATTGTTGTTGGGGGCAATATGCTGACTCTGTAAACCGCTTAGAGAGGGCTGAAAGCCCTATGAAGCGGTATATAAAAATCTGCTATTGCTATTGCTATTCCATCTCTATTCAGTTCTACAAATCCCAGAGAAGTATTTTAGAATTTCACTTGCTGTTCAATGTATTCTGCACAGGATCGAAGGATGACGACGATTCAGGAATCTGACAATTAGCCTTAACTTAATATTCAAGTCACTTTATTAGTATCTAATATTTATTTGTTAAATTTACTTCCTGACAATATCACTGTGGAATTACTCTAGGTGGCTTACAATAATAAAAAGGAAGAAAAATGAAAGGAATATAAAGAAAGCAGAAATAAAATAATAAAATAAAAAATAAAATACTGTCATTTCACCTACATGTTAGTTTATTAAGAACAAGTTCACAAGATGGAAGCTTTTATAATGAAAAAAAATCTGACTTAAAAGGCAAACTATATTTTTAAAAAGGATTTCAATATATTTAGTTTATACCAATATTAATTCGAAGAAAACTATTAAGAAAAAAAGAAAGTCAACTTAAAATATTTTGTGATTTAAACAAGAATTTTATTTGTTTATAAGTTAATAATAATAAGTCTCTTAAAGCTACAAATGACATGCAGAATTGTACAGCTTTGGAGATAAGTTTCTTATTTTAAAGATTTCAAGAGAGCAGCTTTTAAACTATAAAGTGTATTAACAGATAAATCAATATTTATTATAGGCATATAGTAGCACAATAACATACAGAAAAGAATTCTATTCCAATATTCGATTCTATTTGAAGAAAATTGTAATCATTCCCAATTTTATATTAATGTTAGTTTTTAGACATTAACAAAATCATTTTTTTTCACAATTTATATAGAATTTATTTCTGTACATTCTATACTAATTCTATTCTATTGGAGTAACTGGAGTAATTTTTTTTTTTGGCTTAAACAACTTTATTAGATTGTCAAATAAAGTCATAAAAACTAACAGAAACTAATAATTAAAAGAAGCGAATAATGAAAAAGTAAAGGAAAAAGTGTAGAAGGAAAAAAAACACAAGAAAATGATTTCTGATTTTCTTTTACAACAGATATCACTATAATTTTCATTTTTCTATTGTCTACCATTTGTTATAATCATTAAATCTACTTTTAATAATTTCATTTTTTCTGTTTTCATGAAAAAGTCCAAAGGGAGTTTCCAATGAGCCTTAAAATTAATCAATGTCTTTTTTTCTAATCAAAGCTGTCAATTTTGCCATCAGTCAGCTCTTTCAACTTCAACATCCATGCTTTCATTGTGAGTAGTGTCAAATGTTTCCACTGTTGTGCATATAAAAGTTTCACTGCTGTTGTCATATACAAAAATGAACTTCCATGAGTTTTTTCCATGAGTTCCATGGGACTGCTAGGCTGTTTGCCTAGCAGTCTCAAAAGGAATATCTCTGGTGTCAACTGTACATTAATCTTTAAGATCTTTGAAGATAATAAACATATTTAAATCCAAAATTTTAGCTGTTCTATATGTCCACTAAGCTTGATAAAGCTCCCTCTTGGTGTTCCTATGTCCAATATATATGTCTTAAATGTATAAAGGTACAGAATATGAATAGTTTTCCTCCTTGCGAATGTAAGATATTCCACACAGAAATGGAAGATTTCTGAGACTTTTTATTCTTAGTCTGCATTATTGATTTTGAAATCTAAGTTTCTCATTGCTACGGTTTTCTAGGGACGTAATGTCAAATTCTTGATTAAATCTAATCAGCATTGAACCAAATACTGATGGTTTATTGATATCACCTGTTCCTATGAGCAAAACTGCTGCATTGCAACCATTTGCTTCATCAAGTAATTTTAATTCAAGAAAGTAAAACACAGTAAGCACTACTAGCAACTAAGAATACAACTAAGTTATTGAATAAATAGTTACAACTAGCCAGCTTTCTCATTTAAAGGAAAGTTACTAATAATCTCTTACACACAAAAAATATGAGTCTGGATAAATAAATTCAATCAACTCACAACAGGATAAATTCAGGGGACTTTCAGGTTCCTAAATATATTCTCAGAATTGCAGTGCAGATTACTGTCATCACCTTGGTGCTCTGGCTGGTATTCTTCCACTTACAATTATTACTGTTTCTGAAGTGAAGCCATTACTTTTTATTTTATTCCTTTCCTGTTTCAACACAATCTTATGATTCCTTATTTGTAGAAATAGTTCATTCTATTCTTGGGTCTATATTCAGATTAAAATGGAAAATGGTGGTGTTGCCATCAACTTATGACCGGTCGCCTAGCTACCAGTCAAAACTATGATGGACCTCCCTGGAGGATACTTATGACCCAGATTCAAAGTTCATGAGGTCACGTGACTAGATTTCAAGTAGTCAGCAACTACATACATTTACCACCATTTGCAGCATCTGAGTCATGTGACCACATATTGCAGTTTTGCTGAAAACCAGCATCATTTGCTTAATGGACACCACACAAAAAATTTGCAAAATCAGGTTGTCATATGGATGACCCAATTGATGAACATCACAACTTAAGCATATAAAGGGCAGGTTTAATTACAACTGTAATTCAAGAACTATCTATATCAGAGGTGTCAAACTAGCGACATCACCATGGTGACATATGATACGTCACATGATGTATCAGGATTTTTTTTCCCCTTCACTAACCGGGCGTGGGTGTGGGCAGTGCATGATGTCATGCATGGTGCATGATAAATATTTATTTTTTCTAAATATATATAGCAAATTTAAATGGTTTTTTATGTTTAGATAATAATTTATTTCTTATACATATAAATTAATACTTGAGATGAATACCCAAAATCTAAATTCATCATACTCTATTAAACACCAATTATTTATTCTCAAAGGCTACCCATTCCCTAATTATATAAGAGGAAAATTAGCATGATTTTAATGAGATTACCAAATGGATTATACCTTGAGTTTAAGACCCTCAATTACGCCGATTAAAATCAGCAATCCAATAAATGTTTTGAAGTACAAAAAAAAAAAAATCACCAATGGAACTTTACAGTGAAATTGCAAAGGCTGGATGGAAAGGGCAATCAATTCAAAACAGAGTTTGTATTTTAGGAATTTACCCAATTAAGAACAATGAACAAATAGTGGTAATGAATGTCACTTAAAACTAATGACTCACATTCCAAACAAAGATGGGTTTGAAATATTTGCCTAACACACTGAACTATCCCTAGAGGCTTTGTGGCTTTTGTGGCATCTGCCAAATTAAGTCATTTGCTTATTCTTACTATTTTGAGACATCATACACAATGCACCTACAACATGTCTAAAGATAGCTACTTTTTAACTGGCAGCTACCAGTGACGTATCCTTTCAGAACGAGGCTTTATATGAGACTGATTTGAAATAAATCAAATTATCCATCAGAGCAATCAGCACCTGTCTTGCTCTTACATTTCCAGTTTGTCTTTCCACAACAGACAAGTACCTGTTTATTAGTCTAAGAGAAAATGAAATTTTCCTTTCTTAAAAAAGACTGTTTTGCAGTAAGACTGTTTATAAACCATGCAGATAATGCATTCCTGGCTAGTTAGGATAGGTGAATAGCTACTTTGGGATGAAGTCATAAGTTACATACACCACAGAGCTGGATACACACACAGCCTTTCAACAAAATGTTAAAATAAAAACTGGTGAGATGGGATAAGATATTTATTTTACGGGAGCAACAGTGCTGTATAAAATGCTAAATTTAAATAAAAGTGATGATAAATACAAATCTATTTGAGTAATCACATTTTTTTGAGTTTATGATATAAAAAGAAGCAAGCAAGTTGGCAATATTTCGATGAAGAATGAGTCTTTGTATAGATTTTGGTGGAAGTAGGGGTAAAAAATAAATAACGAAATAATATTTTCAATGTGGACATCAGACACCATTTTTACAGAAGCAATTATTCTGCGATGCGGTGGTCCATGTCTGCAATTAATCTTGTCACATTGTTAATGAAATTATGTGTCTGTTAATTAATTAATGACTTTCAGTGAGGATTCATGGCAAACTAGACATCTCTGAAGGAGAGGAGATAGCACTGTGGTAAGATCAAGAATAGGGTGAATGGCAATATGATGAATACTGGAGTGAAATATATCCAGAATAATTGTTCATACTTGTTATGAACAGC